GTTTACAGACACTAGAACCAATTTTACAAAGTAACTAGAGATGAAGAACACAACGTGACCTAAGAGCTTATAACCATTGAGCTAAAACAGCGACCATTCAGAATACCATTGATGTCGTTTGCGACATTACTGAAGTATCACAATAAAGACAGTAAAGAAAAGAACAGTTGTTTCCAGACATTTTATTATTCAAGCATCAGTGACGTTAGGAGCATGCAGCAAGCAAGACATCATCATCATCACCACTATTGACACGACCATCTTTCTTCCCATCTATTCTCTTTCAATTACTCCTGTAGCAAAACATAAGACGAACCTGGGTGTGATATCAACAGGCACAGAGAAGACAGCTGTGCTTTACTCAAACAATCAGTTGCCATCTCCACAGTGAAGATTGGCTGCAATGGATTTCCAACACATTTTTTGTCTTGGTTGTATGCTCTCTCCGACTGCTGACTGTCCATCCCTTTGTTGACCTCCCGCTTGTGTTCTTATCTACCTCTTACCATCTAGCTTTTGACCTTTTCCTCAAATAGGGTTTTTAAAAGAGTGTTATGTCTTTTAATGCGATCAGAATGTTTCATTTGTCTCTTTTTTTATTTTAGTGGTTGAATGTTATTAAGTCCGGCCCAGAAAAAGAGTGACTTACCTTGCCATTCATGGCTCGTCAGGTCACAGGACCTCTACTATGTTTGTTTGAGGTTGTGTTGTTGTGAGTCTATTTCAGGCACCTATGTACGAGTAAGAAGTACTGCAGGGAAAGCGCCATAGGCACGACAATTCTTCAGTATCGAATCTGGGATGTTTTTGTATTTCTACATTCGTTGGCAGTGGCTTACCCCCGAGAGAAAGAAAGCACTTACAAGAATTCTAGGAATAGAAAAATATCACTGTTTCCATAGTCCCAAACGCGCGCAGATAGCAGAACATGATAATAATCCCGAAAGTGAGAGTTGAGAAGACGAGAAAAAAGAAAACTGTTTCAGCTTTGACAATAAGGAAAACATGACACCCCTACAACATAGGAGAGGTCCTGCGACTTGATGAGCCATGAATGGCAAGGGAAGTTACTCTAATCCTGGGCCTGGAAACATGAGCAGCACCTATCCTGTAACTCCTGCTCACTTTCTGGCAGTAACATTCAGTCATCAGCATATCGCAGATTGTTTATTATTCTACCAGTAATCTTCAGTCCAGAGAATTCTGCTTTTTTAAAAATATTTCCTGTTTTTAAATTTAAAATGCTTAAGGAAAACACAAATTTTTGACGATGGTATTGTATGTGTCAAATTGTTACTGTTTGTTCCCAGTATCTCTCTTCTCTCTTCTACCTTTCTATCCCTCAATGGAGCATAGGCCCTCAACCAACTCATACCAAGTCGTTCTAGCCTTCGCCATTACATGGAGCTCTCCCCATGTCCTCCCCATCTTTCTAACTTCATTCTCCAGCTCTCTTCTCCATGTGATTTTGTGTGTGTCTTCCTTTATTCCTGTGCCCCTGTGGGTTATAATGCAAAGACATTCTAGTTATGCTGTTCTCCTGTTTTCTCTGTGTATGTCCTATCCAACGCCAGCGTCTTTTCCTCACCTCTTGGTCCACTGGAGCCTGTTTAGTTCTCTCCCAAAACTCTACATTAATTTTTCTATCATACAATTTAATTCTCTCTATTCTGGGCAGGCACCAGTTAATTAATGTCTGTAATTTATTAGTAATTGACTTAGTTGTTCTCCATGTTTCTGCCCCATACAAAAGTACTGATTTGACATTAGAATTAAAAATTTTTACTTTAGTATTTCTTTTAATTATTTTTTTACCTCCACAAATTCTCTAGTGCTATTAAAGCTCCTCTTACCTTTTGTATTCTTATTTTAGTATCTCTATCAGTTCCTCCATCTTTATCTACATTACTGCCCAAATAGATGTACTACTCCACGTCTTTTAGTGGGGTGCCATTAAGAGAAACCACATTATATTTGCCTTATTTATTCTCATTATCTTTGTCTTTCCTTTATGGATTTTCGGACCAAGCTGCTGTGATCTCACATCTTCTTCTTCTTCTTCACTTCCTCTTTTACCGCTGTGGGTGTCGAGGGAGATATAAGGTTCTGTTTCTAGCTCTTCTGGCCGCCATAGGCGTTGTAGAGTTTCTCTGATGTTATCCTTCCATCTTGTTCTTGGTCTACCTCGTGCTCTACGTCCTTCTTCTCTTTCCATGTATGCTTGGTATGGTATGGTGTCACAAGGCATTCTCTCTAAGTGGGCAAACCATTTCACTTGCTGTCTTTGTATGTAATCTAGAATTGGTTCTGTGCTGACTTTTTCTCTTATGATCTCATTCCTGATCTTATCTCTTATGGTCACTCCTACAGCCCTTCTCAGACATCTCATTTCCATGGTTACTAATTTTCTTTTATGGTTTATTGTGAGTGACCATGTCTGGCACTGGTAGCACAGAGTTGGAATAAATATGCTTTGAATAAGATGTCTCTTTGTGCTAATTGGGATTGTCTTAGAGGGGGGCCAACTGTCCCAATACTTGATCTCACATCAAGTATATTTAATTTATCTTGCATCTGATTCCATGAATGGGACAGAAGAGAAATATCATCAGCGAAGTCCATATCATCAAGCTGTTTTGTAGGGGTCCACTGAATTCCATTCTTGTTGTTAGCAGTTACTGTTTTCATAATCCAGTCTATAGCCAGTAAAAATAAGAGACGCGACAAAAGACATCCCTGTCACACATCTGTTCTTATTTCAAATGTATCTGAGCTTTCCCTCATGAAGAACTTGACATTTCATGTCTTTATATGTTGCCTTTACTAAATTAATAATTTTCTGTGGGATTCCATAGTGTCCCATCAATTTCCAGAGAGATTCCCTATCAATGCTGTCAAATGCTTTTTCATAATCTATAAATCCAATGTAAAGTGGTGAGTTCAGTTAAGTGTTTAGCTCTATTATAATACGTAATGTGTCTATCTGGTCAATACAGAATCTGTTTAGATGGTATCTCACAGCTGAAATCCAGTTCAATTTCCAAAGGCTGGATATCTGGGGAAACTCTGGATCTGGTCTATTTAGAAGCATTTCAAAATAGTCAACCCATCTGTCCATTTTACGCTGAACTGAATCTATACCTGTTTACATCTTAATATGCCTGTCCACAGATTTGAAGTTCTTATACTTTTCTTACACACTATTAGCATGGAAACTAGGATGGCTCTGCTGTAGTTTCTTTGTGGAGATGTTTCTTGGTTCTGGGTTGAGAAAAAATGTCTAGATTAGCCTCATTCTAATAGATAAATCTGTTCCTTTAGAAGACTTTTAAAATTTGGGCATTGAACTTAGAGTTAAAGCTTAGAGGCTTCCAGTGCATTTATAACCAACATCAGCTAACTATTATTAGATTATACATTTTACTGCATAATGTGTCATGTCTGTTTCCTTTTACTTATTTTGTTTAGGAAAAATTTGTCTTTAAAATATTTTCTTTTTCACAATTTTGTTCAGCTTCATGGAAATACTGGAAGAAACAGATGGTGTGATGGTGGCTAGAGGAGATATGGGTATTGAAATACCTCCTGAGAAGGTATTTCTAGCACAGAAGATGATGATTGGTTGCTGTAACAGGGCAGGTAAACCTGTCATATGTGCCACTCAGGTAAACAAAAAAATGCTGTTTTTTATTATTTTGTACGTAAATGACTAGTTAAGCCTCATTTTGAATGATATTGTAATAAAATTGGATCTACTGTAGAAGCCTATTCATATTAAGAAAGCAGGAAACAGACAGTAAATTAGTTTTTTACCACATATTCCTGCCTCTCTTCCTGTCAAAATAAACCCTAGGTGTGGCCACTGTTCTGAGTCATAGCAAATTTTTTGCTTCTGCCAGATGGTGGCCGTTGCATTTTTGCTCCATTTGTAGGTTGAAAGGATAAAGTTTCATTGCCCAGCTTCTGAGTTGAGTGCATGGTTTGACACTGTGAGCTGCGGATTTCATTTTGAATGTTTTTTTTTACTGTGACCCACATGGTGGTGTGAATTGTAGATTCAGAAAATGGCGCATACCTGTTTTCGCAATATTGGTGTTTCCAGTATGTGATTAAAATTGATCCCGTGTGCAACTGCTGTTGGTGACTTCTGCTACCATGGATGACAAACTGCATTTCTAATGTTGGACTGTTTGTGTCAGCACATCGGATGGCTACCATATGATTTTAATGCATGTGTATGCTAGTAGTGCATGTGCTGAGACAGAAGTTTGTCAATCTTTCCACAAGAGACTAACATAAACATTCTGTGTGCTTTTCGTTGGCACAAGAGCGGAGCAACTATGGGGTGACCCGTTTACTATGAAGCTGAAACTAAAATTACCAAGATTACCAGTCTGTTTGATTGACGCAAGATTGACACTGAAA